TTTTCGCTCATTTCGTTTATTTACAGAATGGTCATAAAAAATCAACTTTTTGCTATTGCAGCAATTATGTTTTCCTTTGAACCGACCAACAAAATTTAAGGCTGGTGTTGAAGCTTGAACTTGCAGCAGCAGCAGTCGACTTGAGAAAATATGTCCATATACCAGGTTGCATGAATGAATGAAATATTTTAAAGTAAACCTCACTTTAGTTGAAAATCATTTTATATGCAACCCCGTATATTAAATTTTTGTCTTAAAAGGTCTTTGAAGTTTTAGCTTGAACATGAACTTCAGATACTTAAAATCGGACTACGAGCAGAAAATTCATCGCTGCGAAACGAAAAAGTTCACTTTCTCCTGTAAATAGAAAAGTCACGACCGAAAAATTCAAATTATTTCATAATTTTTTCAAACAAAGTCCAAATAAAGTAAAGAAAGGTTTATTTTCAAACAAAGTCCAAATCGCCCCAATCAATCAGAATTTATCCAGTTCCAAATTTAGGGCAATTTTGGCTATGTAACCTTCATTTTGTTGAGCAGTTTAGAAACACCAAAACATCCTAAAGTAAATTGAAATTAAATATTTAACAAAATCATATAAAACTGAATTAACTTGCCGTTTGCTTGAAAAATTTCACTTTGTATTCAAGCTTTTGAGAATGCAAAAATATCGTTATTTACGATCATCAATAATGTGGCAAAAGTAACTCATTGCTTTCCTCACTCCAGAAGGTTTATCCTATTAAAAAATCGTCTGAAGAGGAAAGTTTCAATGTTCTTAAGAATGTGCCTTGTCTGAAGACGAAGAACAAACATTTTTTCTAACAACGATTATGTACCAATACAGTCGATGCTTAGTCTAAAGAAAAAATATTTTTTGACATTATATGGACAATGAACTAATGAACTCCAACTCTATTTCGGTCATTGTATGAAGGAATTCGACATTAACAAACAATGAAACATGTTTCTGATTCAAACACGTACAGATCGAGAGATGTGCTGATCTCAGGCACCTCCAAGATCTGCTGGTTTCCAGCCTATTAACTTTCTTTAATTGGGTTTAGTATGGAGATAACACACCTAAAAATGTACCTTTTCGCCCCTGTATTATAGATGGGCACGAAGCTCGTAACATACATGGGCAAAATACAATAACAAGTTTTGGGAGTGTTGTTTTCAGGCTAAACCCAGTTTAAGAGCTAATAAGCCCAACACCGATCTCGCCGTGCCTGATTTCAGCACATCGCGAGATCTGTACCCACGTAAATTCGACGTTGTTTAAATACTCAAAATATTTCAAATTATTTATTCTCAGTGCACTTTATCATTAATTCAATAAAAAGCACAAACACTCGGAACACTTAACTGGCTTCTACTGTATATATAACCCCTCTTATCAATAAAGTGAAATAAATAACTAATCAAAATTGGACAAAAGCTTTCACATTTTAGCAAAGCAAACCATTTTACAAAGGCGTCAGGTAAGTTTGAAGAAATTCACAGGAAAAATTATTATTTTAACACATTTCCATTATTGATCATGCATGACCATTTTCTGATCGATCGGTTAATAACAACCTAAAATGCTTATCTTTATTAGTTACTGATTATATTATGTTTTTATAGCTATTGACATAAAACAATAAACATATTTAGATCGTTCGAACAAAAGTTAGTAAAGAGGCAATAAATATATATATTGCCGCTCAACTCAACTGAAATATTGGCAGCGCCAATTAGGGTACAGATATAGATCCAGAATTGAAGCGATGAATTTTGGATCGCATACAGACAAAATAAGCTCAATATATCAAAAATTTATTAAATGAAAGAAAGATATAAAATATCAACATCCAGTATATTGTAAAATATGCAAACCAAAAATAGTATCTGCTATATGCAAAGGAAAAATAGGTGAAAGAAAAAAATTAAATATAAACAGTTTTTTCGCTTTTTGTTCTGAAATGGACAAACATTGTATCAGTCCTAAACCTAGCGCAGCAACAACCACCTACACGAGTAAGCAAAATAATAATTTAAAATTCTAAAATTTGGAATTTTATTCTTTTCCCAAATTTTATGGTCCTAATTCCTTGCCTTTAGTCTTAATAATTTTAGAATGTTTTAGTGTATTGCAATTTCAAAGTGTTTTAGTAATGACATGCTGTGCTAATAAATAATACCACTGTTTTGATAAAAAGCCCACATTTTTAAAGTGTTCTAATAATTAATGTATATGTATCGACAAAATATTGTCTGGTTGTTTCAGACAAACTGATGATGGTGAAAAAACACCAAAACGTTTTTAAGAAAAATGAATAAATTGTAATACCTAAGTAAATGACTGTTACCCTGCAATATTGTTTATATTAAAATTAAAATGTTAGTAAAATAAATTTAAGTGCTTTAGGAAAGCTTCAACCGTTCTCACACATAGTACGATTTTCTCTTGAAAAGTCTGAAGGCTTGAAACAAAGAGCAGCAGAACCAAAGATTTTCATTCGTAATTCAACTGATGCTATTAAGTTAAGTTTAAAAAATTTAATTTATGTTATTAAATGGAATAAAAATAGCTGTTAATGTAGGAAATTTTAAATCTAAATGGAGATGAATAATAAAGTCCAAAGAAATGTTTTACACTTTAAAACAATATATGTAAGTGGTTTTTCGTATCTTGTGTTGGCATTTGGTTGGATCATGTTTTTGAATCAACTGTAGTAGAACTGGGTTTAATTTCTTATGGAGTTAAGTAATATAACACATGACACTCAAGGTAGGTTACTTTTCTTAGCCAAAATGTCTTTATTTATAAAAAAATATATCTCAAACAATATTTTAAATGAATTTCGGCTGCAACGTAAAAAAAATTCCAAAGAAGTTTTCCAAGAAAGAATATCCAGGGCTGGGTCAAGTGACGAATCCTTCGCAAACAACGTCACATCAGTGCAAACATGTAAATGACGTAATGGTAATGTTACTGAAAATTTATATTCATAAAGAGTAGTTTCTGGTTTATTCACTAACCACAATGTTGATTAAATTTCCTGCCTTGAGTTGGTGTCTGTTTATCACGTTTTTTTTGGGAAATTAGAGTATTTTATGCTTATTTCCAATGTCACTACATTGTTCGTGTTGAGGCGTGATTCAATACCACGACGTGTATTTTAAGGCTCTGGTAATATGGAGTCTGCTTATGGATTGAAACCAACCAGCTATTTAAATAAAATGTCTTAATGAAATATGCATTTAACAATTACACATTTAATCATTCGTCAATGAACTTCATTTTAATTAACAGCGCAACTAAGAAATTAATTAAACTTTTGTTGCTTAATGTAACTGCTGCTTTATTTGAAAACAGGCTGAAGTAGTATAGAAATATCTTTCGTATCTACGTAAAAATCCTGAACTTCCTAATAAATACACCGTAAAACCAAGTGATAGTTTTACGTAATTTAAATAATTAATTATCAGCCACTAACATTTTTTTAAAGTTCTGATCTTATATTCAATATTCTTTATTGTACAGCAAGCAAATTACAAACCATTTCTCTTGTGATCGTAGACCAGATGCAATCAACATTTATGGAAATTTATCATTGATATTCCGAATAAAATTAATATCGTTAATTAACGAAACAGATGAACATATTTGATTTCATTCAAGAGGACATTTGTTACGTTTTCAGTTCTTTCGATGTTACACAATTTAAATACGCGTGCATAGATATTAATTCAGTTCTGAATCTCCGCAACTAAAGTGGGTGTTAAGAAGCTTTTGTTAAAAATTCCATCAAATGCCCTGAAGAGTTATTTTTAGGAATCTAAGTTATAAATTATCCGATTATTCCTTATAAAATGGCGTGATCGCTTAGGGTTTGCATATTTCCAATTAAATAGTGCCCCGTTCATGCGGGCTTGCAAAGAAACACTCCCAGTTTCTTTAGAAATTCGTTTCGTGTTATCGTCCGTGAAAAATGCGACTGATCAACCCAGAAATGAATTTTATTGCCAGAGTAATTAAAAGGGATTTAGCTCTTTATTCATTGATCTGGCTGGTGTAAATTCAATTATTTTTGTATTAAATATGACCGTAATTATTTGTATTATAAGTTTTCTTTTAAAGTATTAATTCCGCAATTTTGAAAGTTGTTGCTGGAGTTAATTGAAAATTGTTAATTAAAGAAATTTGATCCTCAAGTTTCTCAAGCTTGCATGGCGAGCATCTTTAGACTTGTCGTGCCAATAATCACCCAAAAATAATGGATTTTGTCAAACATGGTCCTTCACTATTTTGTTGACTTAGCAATAAAATCAAACAAATCGCAGCTAATATGTATACTTTATTAAAAACAAAACTATAACAAAAAGGAATATAGCACAAAATATTACAGTCTTAGGTTTTACATAGCTACTTAGCACCTACGAAGGGCTCCAATACAATAACCCTACCAAATAATTAGAGTATAAAAGCAGGAATAAATCTAATTTTAAGGACAATGAGAGGTGATTTAATAGACGAAAACACTGCTACATAATGCAAGAATTCTAATCTTTAAACTATATTATGTTTAATTTATATTGTTTTCCATTGATACATAGCAAAAACGTTTACACATCTTGTATGTAAGCTCACAAAGTCGCGACTTACATATCATGATATATAAGCTGTGCTAAAGTACCGACCAGCAGTAATATTTAAAAGTCATCAAAGGTCCTTGAGATAACAAGCATATTATATATATATATATATTCCCATTTTATTACAAGTTGTTTTATTTTGATCGTATCCCGGATTAATTAAAAAAAATCTAATTGTTCATGATAGCCATAATTGATTAGCTTTAGGACGTCAAAACAACTAAAGATAAGAGGTGATTTACTATTAATAAGTGCAACTGAATGCAATTCAAACAGAACGCAACTAATAGAAATTGAGGAAATATAATACGAATGAAAAATAAATGAAACTACTATAAATAAATGAAATATCTGAATATTAAAATAAGATCTATATTTTCACGGAAAACATACATAAGATCGGAAGCTTCAAAATTGCAATCTATAAAAATAGGTAAATCACTGGTTTCACTAAGTTCGGTAATCAAACTATGTGGCCAAAATCGTTTCCCATTTTAAATCTCTCATCTGCCAATAGAAGGGCGAAAATTGTTAAGGCACAGCTTTAGCTACTCAATTTTACTCGATGTCTTGTTTGGGATTAGCTCTACCACTAAGTTTCTCCAATCCACCTTGAGATCTACAAAATACGTGCAAGATTAGTACAGAAGAACTATGTTATTTCTACTTCTAATAAATAGCACGTTCATATGAGTACATCCACAAGTTCAACCGATAAAAACTGGTTTTGATTACCTAAATCAAATTAAATAAGTATTTGTTCCAAGTTACTAAGTAGTAACTTGGAAGAATTGGCATAATAACTAAAAAAATGATGGTTGCTCGGCCTGTTTTCAGATATTCTAGCCGCATTAAGATCTAAATCAAGTTTGGTTTTAACGATGTTTTTTTTACTTAAATGGACTTCGTACGTTTTAACTGCGTTAGATGTGATGTCAACCATTAGGCAAAGGAAAGCTATTTGATAACTTAAAATGTATTCGCACATTATGTTCCCAACATAAACAAAAAGAGTACAGTGTAATTATTGCTTGAAAAAGTGAGATAAGAAGAAAAACCTAGACGTTTTATTGACCAGAGATCTGATTCATAAATGTAAATGATACGAAAGTTGAAGCAGATAAATTCGCTTCATGAGTAACTGCCTGATTAAATTTGACCCAGCTATGAACTCTTTATATGATTCTAATATGTCCTAATCTAATCTGAATTAATCTGGACAACATTTCATACAATAGGCTAACATTTTCAAGGCTTGGTGCTTTGCGCAGCAGCTTTCACCCTGTAGGGTACCTACCCATTCTAATAATAACTGTTCAAGATAATTTCAAATGTAATAATCAATTTCCACTAAAAAAGAAACCTATTTATTAACACTTGAAAAGCAACAATCGACTAGAAGATTAGAAAATAAAATTCACTTTTCTTTTTACTTGCTGGTGAATAGACTTGTCTACTGACTCGATCTGTTAAGCATTCTAGACTTGGCCAAGGAGAAAAAGTAATCCAAGAGAGTGGTTTTAAATAGATATCTCGTTACACTATCTGGTGACCTTTAAGATTCAATAGATGATTTCAAATAATTTATATTATCCTATGTGGACCATTATAATGTCATTTATAGGTACTTTCTAATGGGTGTTAGAGATGCTATAAAGAAGTAATATTTTTCACGCCCGTGCTTTCAGCTTCAAAGAATGTAGTTTTGAAAGAAACTGACCTTGTCTTCGTAAAAAATATTGATGACTGAACGACCGAAAAAGACACCATTCAGTAGCTAATATTATTTCCAAGGTGAAGAAAAACATTAATTTTGGTCCCAATCTTAATCGATATGGATTGAGATCCAATGGCCTCAATTTTCGATATAGGAAGTGCCTTTTATCGGAGCCCTCAATAAATAGGTTAATTTTTATTAAGCGAAATTGGGGTCGGCTTGGAGTAACTACGCAAATTGGAAAATACTTCAAAGTTTTAGTAAACTGAACTTTCAGCTGAACCTTTAAAGCAGTTTAAATAAAGAGAACTTTACAATTATCATATTCGTCATGGCTTATTTTAGCTGCTTTACGAATGGTTCAATTTTATACATTAAGAACTTACGTTACTAATGTTTTAGCGATTACCATTGTTGTTATTGTAAGATTAGAAAATACTTGAGGAACATAAACAAACCTAAACTTGTTAACGTCGTCAGTCAATATTTGTGACTCTGCAAAATAAAGTGAGTTCATGATGATGCTCCGACACCCGCACACAAAAAAATGGACAAGAAAATAAGAAAACAGGATCGGTTAAATTTATATGCATTTTTACTTCCTTAACTTTTTGCAGTCGTGTACGCTAATTACATTATCAAATGAAATGCGTTGGCTCGTCAAGCGAATTATTTTTAAATGGCGACATTGCACTAACAAGCAACATCAGATATTTAAATACCAGTGAAGGTTCACAATTAAGACACGAAAAAATAACGTTTCTCAATGCTAACACGACAAATTTCTTATGTTGCTTCCAATTTTATTTCTAGACCAGCAATTTCAATGTTTGGAACAGTGCAAAATCAATTTATTACATTTTTGCTACAGTTTTAGAACATGAATACTATCAGTTTTATTTACTTGAATTTATAAAGCAATTTAATAATTTTTAGGATTTTTCGAGCTGTTGTAAACTGTTTTGAGGCTCGTCTATAGCATGTTTTTTTCTCAATTATAGTTTCTTTAATTGCACTCTCCAATTTTTTGCAGAACTTAAATATTGTCTAAAGTTATCAGTAACTGGAAAGATCCAATATTTACGCCAAACTGTATTTTTATTTTTAGAGTTATTATAAACATGATAAGTTTTAAGTGACTAATGAAATAATAAATAAAATAATGATATATCAAATAACAAACCACTTAGAAAGCAGTACAGCTTCTACTGTTCACTCATAAAATCAATGCATTTTTCAAACATTACAATACGATTTTCATTGTCAGTTCTGTTTCCATTGTGTCCACTGTATGAACAACTCCGTCCCTAACCCAAGACGAGTGAGTCAAGAGATGCATTTATATTTGGGTGGCAGCCGTAAAACCTTTGATAAACAACCAAGAAACATGAGTCATTCAACTTATCAGAATTTCATTCATTATACCCGACCCGACCTAACTGTACGCATTTCTAAATCTGAAACATTCCGAATAAAGAATTAATATTTTGAATGACAATGTTTGTCTGTGATTTTCACATTTTTTGACTCTATTTCATTAAATTCATCTAGGGAGTATCCGTTAATATATTTGGAACATTTTTATATACTTACGCAATGCTGGCAATGATGCTGTCCAGTCCATTGTTCTTCCTCACCCTGTTCTTGGGTAAAGTAGCCAGATAATCATTAGCCTGGTCATGGTAAGCGCCATACATATTCCTTAGAGCACCATAAACAGCCTTTTTCACTCTTGGGTCGTTTTTATCCAAGGTCCCATTGGTGTTAGCGTGGCCATTAGTTTGAGGAACAGTGACTGGTTTGATCAATGTAGTGGAGTTGTTGGAAACTACTTTTTGGACCGAAACCGGTTTGAAGGAGAAACTAGATGGTGGCAGAGGTGGAGGCGGAGGTGGTGGCGATAGCAAACCTCCAGGAGGAGGACTAGCGCATTGAGACGGTGATGGAGAGATTGAGAGCGAAGAAAGTGCAGAATCCACACTGTCTGTATAAGATCGTGGTGGTTCTGGAACAAATTTGGGAAATGCTGGCGGTGCCAAGATTGGTTTAGGTGAAATGGCTGGTTTGATTGAAATTTTTGCTTCAGCAGTTGTCTTTGATGGAGCTGGGTCGGCCTGGAAGGGCTTGGGAACAGCGTTGAAATTTTTCGGCCTGTGCAAGGTGCGCTTTCTTTCTTCACCCGAGTTGCCGTTTTCGAAAATTTTCGACACTTCTCCAATACTGGTGGCCCGTTTAACGTATCGCTTACCAACCGTTTCATTTTGACCATCTGAGTTCTCAAATTTCTTGGACAATTGGCCAATAGAATTCTGCCTGAAGCTGCTCTGTTTGGCTTTCAAACCGTTTGCAGCTACTTTGTCACCAACTGAATCAACCTGGTCATTTTTCTCGAATATTTTTGCGGTCTGTCCTACGGATATCTTTTTTTCTGGTTGCTGCTCTTTATCCACAACTTCCACTTTGAACACTTGCGTGGGATAAGCCTGCTGTATTGGAGGGCTTTTGATTTGAATAAACATTTCGGACTTTACCACTTGCTTGGGCTTGGCTGATACAACACTGGTCTTACTTGAATGATCACTCACATCAGAAAAAACACTATTAGAAGAATTATTTGCGGAACTGTTGAGACTGAAATTCACTCCACTGTCGGACGGTACAATGCCATTTGAATCGTCTTTTTTCTCGTTCCGGTAACTGCCCAAAAAAGACACATAGTCTTTATATTGGGGCCTTTTGCTGTGACTATTAGTGCGCGTTAAAGTCGACATTTTCCCCGATAATCTGGATGAAATCGAGAGTGTCAGCGGGCGTCTAACTTTTACTATACACGGATAAAATGCGAATGCGAATTATCGGTAGTTTCAAGTCGAACTTGGACGCGGTTTCAGACCGGAATTTTAGATGATATCACCTTCGCAAGCACTTAATAGTGGAGCAGGTATTTCCCCAATACCATATCTTTTTTTTAAAATGGCTTCGTGTTAACGTTGAGCTTTTACTTTTGGTTACTAATCAAATCACAAATTAGCCAATTTAATATTTAACCGAAGAAAAATCGCGTCATATGGTTTTCTTCTGCCATTTATTGGCATTTCTCGAAATACTTTAATGTATAGCTTAACACAAAAAGTATTCAATCAGATATGCAGGTATTTACAGCAATTACCTGGAAACTCAGTTTCAGAAAATTTCTAAAATATATACAATATACAGAATGTCTAAGAAACAAGCGGGAACTCTCCAATTGTAACCGACTAACTTTTGAGTTAACTGCTTAACTAGAACGCGTTTTAAATTTAAATTGAAATTTCCGATTTGGACACATTTTTGTTCAATGAGTTGCCATAAGTTTTATGATATACTGGTGTCAAACTCAATTTGTTTCGCATGCAAATACAAAGTTATAATTTTTTATTTTCAGTAAAAAAGCCACATGCTTAGAAATGCGCAAAACAAACGAAACTGTAGCCGTTACTAATATTTCTTGAGACTTCGCCTCAAGATACTGCTCTGATACTTCTAACTACAATTATATTTAAGTTTATTTATAATGTTCCAAAATTGCGCTAAAATCTTGTTTGATGCTTACGTCTTGTTTTTTGCTACGACTAATAGCTTAAGACATGTAAGACATAAGGCAAAGTGGCT